TTTTAGCCGATTTCACATCGGAGGATTGGGGTTTGCAAAAGCATACTCCTAAAGCTTCTCAAAAAAAAAAACGTTTGTGCTGATAATGGTACGTAAAAGGATATAACTGCGTTTTTCGTTTGTGGTAATTTATGCTTAAGCACTTTTGAGATATAGTGTAAAGACCGTTTTTTCTTTAGCACTTTCTCCTGTCGTCTTTTGAACCGTGGACTAATTTGAAAGAAGGACTTTGTGTATGCCATAAATATCTTCCAAAAAAGATAAAACCAATCAGAAATCAAATCTTGGACTCATTATAATTCATGCTAGAAGCATTAGTCCAAACCAACAAATTGTGTTCAAGTTGTACATAGTATTGATTCGATCATGAACAGATATTCAATGAGTACTCAATTGAGATCAGCTGAGACCCAAGCATTTGCATTATGACAGATGACGCGAGAATTATTTAAAAATTTGAGAGAACTGTTGAAAGTTTGGCGTTAATCAATAACTTATTAATTAATACTTCTAAAAATATAAACGAACTTTTTCACTCCAACCAACGTTACGCAAAAGAACAAAAATTCGTTATTGTTTTCTGCTCATGCCAAAAAAAGACTTATCCCCCAATTTTCTCGAATAATCTCTAAACAGTAGTAACGGATTACTGGCAGGGAGCCTTATAAGGTAATAAGTTTAGTTGAATTCGAAAAGTTGAAATAATCTACAAATATCATATCAATATCACAAATATTTTTCTAGATCAGACAGTGCTAAGAATAATAATTTGACATGATCCTGAGAATTCCAAGAACTTTTTTTGAACAAGATCTCTCAATGTGGCTTTCTTTAGGTAAGTGAGATGCGAAAATGCTTAAAAGTCGAATAAAGGAAAAAATGCCTTTATCACAATTTATTTGCAATCTCCACTAATGTATATGACTGCAGATCCTTATTACGAGACTTGCTCGTTCCCCAATCCTCAACGGTGTACTATTATTGTCTAACAAATGTGCACTCCAACTGGTTTGTGAATAGATTCTAAAAGAAATTTGAATTGTTTTTCAACTCATAATGATACGCTCATTTGGAATCCTATTCGAGAACCGGATATTTCCCCATCTAAACTCACCTTTTATACTAGATAAGAACGAATAATAGGTCAATTGCCCAGTGACAGCTCCTGGTTTTGCGGGATTCTTCCGAGTTGTTGTTACAGAGAAACCATCGGGGCCGATAGCTTCCACTTCGACTATGTGCCAGTCTATCATTCTGAAGATTCAAGGGATTAATAGACTACGGCATACTGATAACAGCTCTACATATTGAAAGCTTTACGTAGAGGTTCAGGAGAACTAAGGAATGAACTACTACACCACAATTAGTGAACTCGTCTTTTAATTGAAAATGGACAAATAATGGAATTAAATGGATAAATCATATTAATGCAATCTCCCACAATTTCGATACGTGCGGAGTGGAGCCCGAACTATCTAGACGGACCTCTTCTTAAAGGTTTCAAACTTTCTTCAATCTTCAAAGGGCGTGAAAATTCTCTTACAAATTTTTGATTTTTTGGTCATTCGGAGGTTTAATCAAGGACAAGTATGCGTTTTTGTGTTCGTCTGCAATTTTTTTGTAGAAACATTTTCAAATGAAAAACCAATTAATAAGAAAGGAAAACATTTAAAAAATAAAAACTACAAAATTATCATTGTATTGGGTGTACAACTTAATTCGGTCCGTTTTTTTTT